TATATATATATATATATTCCTTTATTCGGCTCTTAAGGGGAAACTTTTTGTCGACACTAGCGACACTACTTTCTCCTTAAGGTACTATTTTTAACCCTCTTCATTGTTAAGGTTTCCCCTTATGGATACTTCTACGATGTAATAAATTATATTTTATCTGATATGTTATCAATTTCATTTAAAATTTAACCCATAACCAAATCCCTTCAGAGAAAAAGAAACCTAACTATAATACAGGAAACTGTGCACTCGTAAATCATGTATGGTACCCAGAGGATCTTTACTCCTTGAAAGGTTAATACAACATAGCATAAAATACAAGAAAAAAATCATGAAATAGCAAGAAAGGATAGTAATATTAATAATAAACAAAAATGATGATGATGATAATGAAAGAATAACACTGTTTTAATCCATGCAATATATACATATATATACATATTTTGGTTATGGGTTAAATTTTAAATGAAATTGATATCATATCAGATAAAATATAATTTATTACATCGTAAGAATGGTGATCCGTCTGGTGAAGCTGTTTATGATGTCTGTTTATGATGCTTGGGATGCGGAGTTGTTTTTTGGTTGTTTGTTGAGATTGAACTTAGTACCTTGAGATTCTAAGGCAGGCATCCTGACCACTAAGTCACAGCTCCACAGCTGACAAATGAAATAGTGTATGGTGTACAAATACATGTATATTGAGACTCTTCTCTTCAACACTGGATCTAGAACTTTGCATGCATTCAAATGAGTGTTGATGTTGAAAGTGGGCCATGATGTAGTGAAGATCATTTCTTTTTAATGCACAAAATATAGGAAAAGTTCTATACAGTATTTGCACGTAATATACATTTAGAACTATACAGCCAGTATTTAAACCTTTTTTGTAGCTTCTTTAATAAATACTTCAAGTTAATCAAAATTAATTCTCTTATGAAAAAATATATATATATATGGGTAATAAATGGGAGACTACTACATGCATGAACATTTGTAAAATACATTTAACTTCAATCACTTTAACATTTTCACATCCCTTTTTAGCATTTCCTTTTAAAATTGTTCAACTTACTATATGCCTCCTCTTTATTGAGTCGCATATTAAATATTTTCCTTTTCAAATTGTTCAACTCCATCTGTATACAGTATATATTCTATATTGTTAATGCATCGATTTTGTGCTTTGCATCATATATTATTGTACATTGTCTGCATTGACTTTTATCACCAGTCTTAATACAGTTGTTGCTTTCACACACTTTGTGTTATTATTTGGCATCATCTAGGCTCTTTTAGTTTTGCCATTGTTAATAGCATTTTGAAACTTAATGGTTATTATGATTTTAGGTGTATTATGCTACAATACAATATTTACCAACTTGACCTTGATGCTTGGATGTATTTGGAGATGTTGTAGAGACATATATAGAAGTGGTTGGCGCATCGATTGTGGCTTGGACTCCCAACCTTGAGGTCAGGGGTTCGAAACTCTTCGCTGTGCAAGTTGCTTGTGTCCTTGGGCAAGGCACTTTATCTATGTTTGTCTCTCTCTACCCAGGAGTATAAATGGGTACCTCGTAGGATATTGTGGCATTGAATGTTCTAGTTTTGTGCGCTAAAGAAGTAGCGACTGACTAGGGATAATCTCCCCAGGGAGCAGACAAAGTTGCACTTTGTGCTGATTTGCTATTGTACGTTATCCAGTGACCAGGGGTAATAATGCTCCCGCCTTTGATCATTCAATTTGGAATTGGTGCCTTATAAATGTTTGAGTATTATTATTATTATTATTACCCCTCTAGATGTGTATAAGAGACAGGGATAGTAATATTAATAATAAAACAGTCTACCAGAGCCTATTCAGAAAGTAAGATCTAAAGTCATACCATTTATATACTTGCATCATACTTTGATCATGTATAAAATGAAATTCATAACTTGACCTGAATTTGCTATTTAGCTTGAAATGAATGTACAGCTACAGTAACAAGTGACAAGAGAGCTACAAACTAATTTCCTATTACATTCTGATAGCATAATGATATTATTTATATGGTGCTAATGTACTGTATATTTTTGACATTTTGAAAGGAAATTGAGGAAGAGTTTGTGGAGCTACGCAAGCAGAACCCTCAGAATATGACAGTTGATGATTTCCATTGTCTGCTACTTGTTGCTAGGTAACAATTTTGATTCATTGTTGTTAATGTATTATATCAATATTTTTTTGTTATTTCTACATCTATATGAGTATTTTTATGTCTGTGTTTTGTGTCTCTACTACTTTACATTGTGGAATATAGATTATTTTTATTATGTTTTTAGTCCCTGAATCGCACACACAATGGCACAACGAAAGAAGTGAGCATTACATCCCAACGTAAACATAATAAATAATAGAAAGCAGCATAGGAAATGTGACTAAATTGTTGTTAGTGCTTGTGTTTGTGTTTAAAGCTATGACTTTGCTCAGACTTGCCATGCAAATGTGTTTGTTCAGACTAAAGGCTTGTCCAGACTATCAAATTTTCTTTGACAAAAACATGTGAAATACCTAAATATGGTCATGATGACATCACGTCATGACCATATATAGGCACATCATCACTATATATGGGCATACAACAGGTTTTTTTTTTCAAAGAAAATTTGATAGTCTGGACAGAGCTTAACACTGACCACTATCTCCTGGCAAATATATATATATATATATATATATATATATATATATATATGAAGGACTCCCTCTACAGAATGCAGTACAGGTTAGTCTCAACCACTGACTGAATTCTCCGTTAGAACACTCAACTCTAAGAACCTTAAAAGAACAGATACATTTACTAAATAAAATGGGTAATCCAATTTAAATAAGAAATATACTTTTGAAATTAAATTGGCATTGTCTCTTCTTTTAATCTTAATATTCCAGACTGCTTTCTTTGTCGCATGGCCAAACAACTCTCACAAAAGAACTTTGGCAACGAGCGCAAGTTCTTGAAGCAGCAAGGAAAGGTCGGCAGATGAACCTGCAACAGACAGCTCGTTAGATCATGTAAAGCGCCACCAGTGAAGCCACTTGACATGTAAATATTTTTTAATTGGCAAACATCAGAATTTGAATCTTGACAATATAGCATGTGTATAATATACACTCAAAATTTGTCTTCTCATGCAGTTAATGGAAGTAGTGGATTTGCCTCCCAATGTACTGCCCAACTCATTGCCAGAAGGCCCCATCAAAGGAATTCTAAGTATTCTAATAGCTAGTATAATAGTATACAAGTGTGTTTGATGAATTATAAATACATGCAAAACATAAGACATACAGTAAGATGTTTATTTATTATCCACTATATTTATTTGCCTTCGGCCCACTAACCTTCGTGTGGTTGCTATGACCAATCCATCAGTGGTTGATTCATTGAAGCTGTGTGGAGATGCCATTGAGAGTTGTATTGAGAAACATCAGATGGAACCACCCTTTGTAATTATGATTCAATAAACACACATCAAATTAAATTAATAGAATTTAAACTGAAATATAGTAAACAGGCCTTAACATTGTCTAGGGCATTCGATTACGGCCATATTACCTAGACCTATCTTAAATAGGCATAGACAAGTGATAGTGTTTCATCACATTAAAACTCAAAACACTTTCCACATGTGCGCACAACGTCAGCATGAATGACAAGCCAAGGGTGTATGTAGTCTAAACTTACTATTGTATCGTCTGTTTGTGGTGACGTAAATATATCTACTAAAATAAAATTAATGTTGTTTTTGTAAATTAATTTTATTTTTATAAATTGCCAGTTGGTAAATTATTTTCCATTGAATAACATCAGAAAATATGTTTTGTATTTGAATAAATAACTACATGATACATGGACATATTGTTGGTTTGTGTGATTGTTATTAAAATGTTATATTTTGGTATACTTTGGAGCAGATGCTGAATTAAAGTATATGTACAGAATTGGAATTTTACCAAAGGACATTGAAATGCAATACAAAAATACATTAAAATTCATTAAAAAAATATGTTAAAATTTGTTAATAAAAAGCTTAAGAAAATTAAAAACAAACAAAAACACTGACCAAAACTATAATTTTTCAAGTTTCAAGCAATTTCAGAAGGTAGGGATTTTGACTATTCATTTTTAAATTAATAGTATTTTAATGTATTTGGATGATATTGTATTAAGACACTGGAATTTACTAATCTGCCACAATTATTTTTTTTTTTAATTAATTACCCTTTAGTATTACTAGCATGTTGATAATGGAAAATACAAGGGTTGGGGAAGGGGAATTCTGTTTAATGGTCATAAATTTTGCACAAGGGATTTAGCCAAGCTGTTATATTTCATTACTGAGCAAAAAAATAAAAACCGTCTTTTGTTGTCTACAATCTGAATTGAGCCTAAACAGAGATACGATACGATTTCGTCCAAAAGGAAATTCAGTGGTACATGTAAAGTAAAGTTCTCTCAACAAAATAAAAGAAACCTAACCAAACTATGCATCATAATGGCCCTCATACATCGACCAGGGGCGGATCCAGAAATGTCCAAAGGGGGGTGGGGCTGAAAGTTGGGCCGATTGAGACGACACTGTCGTAGGGGGTCTGGGGCATGCCCCTGCGAAATTTTTGTGTTCTAGACGTCCGAACATAAAATTTGAAGTATTCTGGGCTATCATTTTTTTCTTTTTCTCTCTTTTTTTTTTTTTTTACCTCCCTAAATCCGCCACTGCCGACCCTAACCGAACTATGCATTCTGGGGGAGGGGGCCCCGTTACTCCACTAAGATATGACCTGCATGCCCCAACCCTAACCAAAATATTTATTCTGGCATAGGGATGGTACTCCCTCCACTCAGGTCCTAATGACATGCATACCCCAACCTTAACCAAATTCTGAATTATGGGGTAGGGGCATTACTCCACTAAGGTCCTAATGACACACATACCCCTATCCTAACCGAACTATGCATTCATACGTGGGGGACATTACTACTGAGGTCCTGATGACCTGAATAGCCCTAGCAAAACTATATATTACGGACATTCTGGAACCTAAAACAAAAAATTAGACCCATTGTAAATTCTCACAAGAAGATGGCAAAAATTCTACATCAAATTATTTTTCGTCGTTTACCAGATCTGAGAAAGGTGTATGAATTTAGCGAGTGACGAGTATTGCTCATAATTGTTTTCATTATTTTTACAATTTTTTTCTCTATATTTCGTCCATGGTTGATATAATTGATATCTTTTTGCTTTATATATATCATAATTTTATAAACACATACCGTATTAGTTAAAATTGTATTTTTATCAAAAACTGGAACTTACCGGTACTATAATTAACGTTGAGTAGGTGTTTTAACTTAACACTTACTGGATGAATAGTAGCAACATTCACAGATTGAACATACCATATTACTTGCGTGTAAGGCGGTCAAAGTATAATACGACCTTTACCTATATTGGCTGGAACAAAGAAACCAGAAAGTTGCTTTGCTATCAGTGGATTTCTATCACTTTGTTGAAATGGCATTGTGTGCTATAAAAGTAATTATGGTGGCTAAAACTTAATATGCTATGCCTTGTACATCAATTTGTAACCCACAGTAGAAGCAATGTACGTAAATCACAAATCCTTCTCATATGGTGAATGCTGCAGTCTTTGACTCTGTTTATACTTCCTATACTCCTGATTAGGACTTGTGCATATGCTACACTCACGTACTGGTAATTTTTGATATTGGCTAGAAAATCTTTGAGTGTACATATATCATGCAAAATTAACCGACATTACGTTTTTTGTTTTTTGTTTTTTGGTGCAGTTCTAAGCATAAAACATGATATTCCCTTGCGAATTAATTGTACTATAGGCGGATATCAAATTAATGTATTTTACTACTATATATCATACCGCCCCATGGGATTAAATAACTTTACATAGCATACTCGTAAATCTGGCAATTCTTATTATACAAGCATTAAGTTCACGGTCATTAATTTACATGCTCATGACAACGGATGCAGCTCACAAGGCGTAAGCAAAACTTGTTTTATATAGGCCTAGCCTTGTTAACCCATCGTAACCCATCGCCATTTCGTCACACAAACATAGTTTTTACACTGTATTGTATTCAATATCGATAAAGTATTGAATGTATCAAGAATAGCATACACACAAATCATGTAGGCCTATATATTTCAATATGCCTGTTAGGGTTTTTTTGACTGAGTTGTATCTGTAAGGAAAAAATATTTTTTTTTGTATACTACATCTTTACAATACATCTTTTCAATTATAAATTTAAATTTATTTATTAAATTTGCAGTGCTAACTATGTTAGACGCATACTGTTTAGCATATTCAGTTCGTAGCGAATACAAATGTGTTTGTTTCCATAAGAAATCTAGAATTTTGCAGTCCCCCATAAAGTTAAGACGATAATACAAATAATAAAAATTAAATGGAACCCAATCCATTTTAACTCATGTAATGACTTTATGTTTGTCTCTGACTGAACTACTGAGCCGCTCTGACTCCCCGTGGATTACCACTGTCATTTTTTTTTTTTTTTTAGTTTTTAAAGGGAGGGTTTTTTTTTTTTTAGTTTTTAAAGAGAGGGTTTGTTCTTCTTTTCAATTATAAATTTAAATTTATTTAATAGATTTGCAGTGTTAACTATGTTAGACGCATAATGTTTAGCATATTCAGGTCATAGCGAATACGAATGTATTTGCTTCTATAAGAAATCTAGAATTTTGCAGTCCCCCATAAAGTTAAGACGATAATAAAAATAATAAAAATTAAATGGAACCCAATCCATTTTAACTCATGTAATGACTTTATGTTTGTCTCTGACTGAACTACTGAGCCGCTCTGACTCCCCGTGGATTACCACTGTCATTTTTTTTTGTAGTTTTTAAAGAGAGGGTTTGTTCTTCTTTTCAATTATAAATTTAAATTTATTTAATAGATTTGCAGTGTTAACTATGTTAGACGCATAATGCTTAGCATATTCAGGTCATAGCGAATACGAATGTATTTGCTTCTATAAGAAATCAAGAATTTTGCAGTCCCCCCATAAAGTTAAGACGATAATACAAATGATAAAAATTAAATGGAACCCAATCCATTTTAACTCATGTAATGACTTTATGTTTGTCTCTGGCTGAACTACTGAGCCGCTCTGACTCCCCGTGGATTACCAATGTCATTTTTTTTGTAGTTTTTAAAGAGAGGGTTTGTTCATTCTCAGCCTAACAGACTAAATTTACTTATGGCTTACTTAATTATGACTGTTATGATGTATATAACTGCAGATTCAAATAAAATGGTGTTAAAGAGAGACCCTCAAGCCAAGAGTTCAAAAACAGCAGTAAATTCCTCTCCAGTACGTAGGTTTGAAATATGCTATATCAAATTTAAAAATATGAAGGTTGAAGTCGGGCTCCGGAGGAAAATAAAATCTAGTGTAGGCCTATATTTTAAAGACCGTCCTAAGAAGAGGGTGTTAACTCGGGAACAGTTAATGAGATACAAACTTTTTAATATTTAAAAACTGCGGGAAAAGTCTGAAAAAAGGTACTTACGGCATTTAGCAGAGACAGTTCATCAATCCATTCAGCAATAATTGTTTCAATAATGACTCAATTATAAGTTCAGTTTTTCTCATTTTTCACATTACTTTCAAAGAATACTTCCACAAAAGGATCTGCTGCCCCCTATTGTGTTTTGATATTCTTCAATTTTTGCCATCCTAAAGAGAAAAACACGCACACACACCCACACCTGTCTCTTATACACATCTAGATGTGTATAAGAGACAGGGCCTAGCCTTGTTAACCCATCGTAACCCATCGCCATTTCGTCACACCGCTGCAAAATGAGGTCATATGAGGTACGGTAATTTTTATCTACTTGAGCGAGACTGGGGAGCGCGAAGGTTTTGTTGTAGGGTGGAGGCGTGCGTTCCCCGCCCTCTCCGCGCATGCCCTTAATAATAATTAATAATAATTCAATAATTCTAATAATAATATTTCATGGTGGGGCCCTAATTTTTTTTATTGTTTATACCATATTTATAGAGGATGCCCCTTCCAGTTTATCTCACGACAATTCAAGTGCCATCTTGAAAAAAATTATATAATAAGAATGAGATGTGTTATAAACTAAGTCACATTTGCGTAACTTAGGGAGTGGAGAGATTTTTAGTCGTGAGAAAACATACTGTTCTGTTACATAATATGAACCCAGAACCCTGAAATTGGAAGGCAGGCATCTTAACCACCACTATATCTCAACTTATACAGAATGTAAATATACTTTTCTATTCTTGATTGGCCGTGATATATCTACAGGCCTCCGGTAAACCACTTTATTTGTACAGTACATTCTTAGAATCACTAATGGGAACTACATACAAACAGATTGCTCAATTTGTGTAAATTCAGTATATGGGCCTATAACAGGTAGTAATATTGTCGACGATGCTTGTCCTCTTTTGAAAGTGAGCTTTATTGGCTACATGCAACACTTAATTGGCTTACATTCAGTACTACATATTCTTTATGCTCACATGTATACATACTCATACATTGAAAAATAATGTAATAAGCATTATGAAATGCATAAATTAGGCCAATTTATAATAATGATCGTAACATAGATATGCATATACATGCGTTCATTCATTGTCAGAATGATGTTTAAAAATTGTAATCCATATTAATTAAAATATTACAATGTTGAAGGGGGTTAATGTGTGAAGTGATGGCCGTTATACAATACATATACCGATAGCCGACCACTAATTCATAATATGATGGATTTTCTGTGTAGTCATTAAAAGTTTATTGTGGTGCGACAGATGGTATTAGTTGTTTCAATGCATAAGGTTCGCATAGTGATACAACATAATGATGATACTATCGTAGTTTATGAAATGAGATATCTTTCCTTCCAAAACCCAACACATCACCGAAAATGAAGTCAAAAAGTGTAATTATTATGATCACAATTTTCATCAACATCATCATCATTATCATTTTTTCATCACCCATAGTCATCGTCATTATCATCATCGTTTTTGTCATTGTCATCATCTCATCACCGTCACTTTCATCATATCGTCGTCGTCGCCGCCCGGAAGGCCAAATTCACTATGGATTTAATCGGAGAGAGACTGAAGCATTATCGTTATCATCATCATTTTCATAAGCATCATTATCATTTTCTGTCATCGTAGTTATCATCATCGTTATTTTCATTGTCATCATCATTGTCGTCATTATCATTTTCCTCATCATCATCACTTTCATCATAAAAATAGTATCATCATCTTTACTATCGTCATCATCGTCTTCTTTTCCGGCTTGTAACATAACGGATTCCATAGCTTTTCGCCCAAGATTTTCTATTCATTCATTTTAGTGCATTTTAAGTACAGTACACAGAGTTAAATGTTTTTTTTTTCAGTTGTAACATGTTCATTGAGTGGCGATTCTCGCCGTCCTGTGCCGCTGTCGATCTCATGAGTAGGATATCGTTCTCCCATTCTGTTATTATTCTGCAAAACTATTCCATTACAATATTGAATAAGGGAATTGATATAATGGTCATATCGCTCAAATATCGTACAGAATTCCATTAGACAATCGGTCTGCAGTGAGTCATTGATACGTTAGATCGCTGTTATTTCCATAAAGAAACCGGTAAATGTTTTCAGTCAATAAAATATTCAATCGATACCAATTCAAATGACATGTCCAATGTGGGATTAAAATCGATCATCAAACGGCCCGACTACATTCATCTATCCACCGCATGCATAGCATAATTACAGTGACATACAACTTTCATTTTGTTTTTCTATTTACCCACTTACGATAATACTTCAGAAAGAAATACAAATTGGATAGTAATTTTACATATCATATTTTCAATGTGTTTCTGTGAAGCTCGCTTGTTATTTGTAATAGGCCTATGACGATTTTTTTTTTGTTCAGCGGCACACAATGAATTGTAGGCTACATTCTGACGTGGAGGCTCGTAACCAAAACAACACGGAAAGTAATGAAATGAATCACTAAAATAGAACAAAACTCCATCACAACCATAAGTTGGCCTACGTCAAGGAGGTTTTTCCAACGCTAGTAATTTAATATAGGTCTAAACGTGATTTAACTACTTTGTAGCAGTTATTGAAATCGTCATTACAAGAAAAGAGAGTTGAGTTAATTTCCACTGCTTTAAGTGAAACGTACTTTTGCTTTAATGTTAGAATTTGTTCCGTACATTTAAATTTTGAATAATGCATTAAGTAAGGCATTAGTTTGATTGAATGCCGTTTTGTATTGTTAGCACATACAAGTGTACTTATAATGCATACATGATGGGGTTTTTTTCTCCGAATGGACTTTCTGAAGTGTCAATCAAACTTAACAGACTGACCAAAAAGGGCCAGGAGTACGCACTTGTCCCCCAACGACACGTTGTTGTAAACACTAATTCGAACCTACTGGTCGGGGAGTGGGTTAAAACGGACGGGTATATTTTAGCCTGTGATCTGCTTAGCGCCATCTCGTGATGTAATTTATCATACTAGTAGGCCAAAACACAAGATACCGTACACTGCCAAAAATCGGCGAAAACATCAACAATTTAAAGTTTTGAATGGCTCACTCAAAAGGATCAACCAAGTTATTTACTTAATGTTTGTCTTTTATTTAAAAAATATTTATCGGGATGCAATCAGAGGTGGTAAAAAACAGAACTTCCATCCAGAAACAGACCGAATAGAAAAAAGTGCTCGCTGATTTATAGGCATTTTAATATAAAAATCATTAAATTGCTAAAGAACAGCAAATTATTAAACTGTCGTCGCATTCTCATTTTTGATTGTTAGTCAATAAGTACATTTAAGTGGGTACTTACTTGTTGGTCTGTTCCCCGCCTCTAAGGCGACGATCACATACCCTACCAAGGCCCCTAGATACTTCACTGTATGTAGTAGACAAAATAATGTATATGCCCTTTAACAACAGCTGACAAGCTACCGTACCCAATTAATTAAAGGCCTGGTGTTGGTCGTGTTATTATGGCTTTATAATTATAGCATGGTGCATGTAATGATTGGTAGTTGTAGTTGACATAAAGCTGCTAAAAATGTCAGGCAAAAAAACTAAATGCAATTATCTCTTTCAATTGAAATTTTATGAACTGTTGATTTTTTAGACTCATATAAATGTAAATTGTTGTGAGAATACATGTCCATTAGTTTTCATGCCGTTTCTTCAAGATCAGGGTATGATAAAACGGCACCCTGTGAAGAAAAGATAATTAGGCCGTTTCCATGAATCAAAATATGATTATACCCTCGGTTTCTTCTTGTGAGCATTTTTTATTTGATAAAGTATGTCTTATGCTGGTCGAGCACTCACTGCGGCGTAAGACGGTCGTACGACCGTCGTCCAAAAGATTCGCCTCAACTGCTTGTGAGCTTAAAGCTGGGCACTCATTGCGTCGTACGACGTTCGTACGAATCCAACTCCGCTCCCTGAGAGCGTTAGACGACGCGACACCGTCTGCTGATTGTCGCTGGCAGTCTGAACGGATCTTTATTAAAAACTATGTGTTGCGCGCACGACGTGGCGTTCGCGTCGGCCGACGACCGTCAGGTGCATGCAGTGAGTGCCCGCCTTTGGACAACGCGCCGTCTGATGAACGGGTCGTCATTGCGCGTCGTCATCGTCGCTGCGCGCGCGTCATGGCCTTGCTTTCTCCATAGATTCGCGTCACCCGAAGACCGTCGGGCGCAGTGAATGCCGGGCTTTAGACCCACTCCTTACCTACAATACCTGAGGCTGATCCTAAAGTGGGAATATTTTTTAAGCCAATTTCAACGCACACATATTATACTAGCTTCTGATTTTATTCACATTATAATCTACTTGAGTTAAAATTAAATACTGTTTATTAAAGGATTTTGTTACTATGGAAAACTGAATTCTTTTTCACGTTTTATTTACGTTTTATGTTTCATTTTGTACTGATTACAAAGTTTCATTATTACTACTGCTGGCTGGAATTGCATCGACAAACTACGGTATCCTTTATGATAATCTATGATTGATAAAGCCGTTATAAATCTCAAATTGCTAACAGACTCCTCAATTTAGTTGTTTTCGGCTTTTTCTGTAATTTAGATAATCCGTTTGTTCTTATACTGTATCATTCAATTGTGTAGTTGCTGTAAGAGAATATATAGAAAAACAATGATTACATTGGAAATCACCTGTACAACGGAACGCCCATCGGTCATGTGACACATTTTAACCAATCAATCTTGTCAGTAATATACGTTTTGTTTCAGGGAAACCAATAAGAATAGCGATGGTGAGTCGTAACCACTTATAAACCAAACGATAGAATTCTACAGTTTAAAGACGAAATTCGTTAGATATATATTAGTCGGCACACATGTAGCGAAACAGGTAGGCCTATACTCGTGTACTTTTGATAAGATTCTGATCGAAAGGGATTCCACGCGAAAAGTTCCTACATAACACCTGTTTTTTCATAGTTGCAAGGTAAGATACATAGGCATATTCGTATTCACTGTTAACTGGTAAACACAATAAGGTTGCTGTTTTTTTAGAATTGATAGTTTTTTTTTTTTTTTAATGAATATGGATTTGCGTGCTCAAGGTTATGGCACAATAAATGACCTATGAAACTAATGTAAGTTAATCAAAATATGTATAATAACATAATTATCGCTCTCTGTGATCACATGATGATTCTGGAACATAAATGTATTTTTTTTAGCACTACACACCGAAGAAGGTTGCAGGGACGACCGAAATATTTGTGCTCAAATAAAATATAGGGCCTATTTATGTTTCAGAAATATGTCAACCCTGGTTTTTGTCACTCGTGATAGTCTCACTACATATGATAGGACCGGAACATACGTGCCCGCATCGCATATCTATGCCTAATTTATGTATATATATATATATATATATATATTATATATATATATATATATATATAAAAACATATATTGCCTTGGTTTGGCTCTGTAATCATTAGTGGTAGTGGGACTGGTTTGGGCCCTTCCTAAGCTGGTCAAACGTTTCTTTTGGGTCTATACCCCAGCTGCACTGATGAGTCCTGGAAGGCCGAATCGGATCCGTCTGCAGATATTGGGATTCCTTCCAGTGGATACTTAGTTGTTTATTTTGTCATTCTGATCGGATTTTCTCTACTGTTCCGTTTTAATTATATATATATATATATATATATATATATATATATATATATATA